TAATAATGATTGGGGAAAACATAGAAAAGATATTGAATGTTGAAGCGGGGAGATTAATGTCTCTGTATTGACTGACATGCATGGCATTCCCTTTTGAAAAAGCATTGTAATACAATGTAAAGTTATATGTAATCCAATGTAATATAAAGAAGATTATGATGATAATAAAAAATAATTCTGTAAAAAATGAATAATTTAAAAAATAAACACTAAATTTATAAGTTTTATATGAAAATATCAAAAAGGGACAAATATACTAGACAAATTTGTTTAGCAAAACAAGTAAATACAATATACATAAATAAAAATAAACATCAGAAAGTTTAGTTTCTATCTTATTTCCACTTGTAATAACAATAATATTTTATTTGTACTTTGGACAAATTTGACATTGACTCTTCGAAAAGCAAAATTAAGAGGATAACATTGTTTATTAAAAATCTTTTTAATGACTCCTGCAAATGTTGTGGTGGTTAAGTTGCTGGACTCTTGTATATGGTTCCAGTCCCTGACTTGGCAGTTTGCTTTCTTTCTCTCTCTCTTTCATGAGCACACATGCCCTTTAGCAAATTTAAAATAATGATAATAGATAAGAGTAAATAAATAATTTTCTTAAAAAATCTATTTTGTGGGCTGAACCCATGGCCTAGTAATTAAGGCAGCTAGATTTCCATGGCTCAAGTCCCAGACCTGGAAGTCTAAGAAACATTCCAGGCATGTGTGTATGCATGCAGGTCTAAAAACAAAAAAGGAGGGAGAAATGGAGAAGGGATTGCAGTCTGACCATTTCCCATTGGAGGTGCTTTCTCCTCTTCTTTTCTCACTTTAAGGACACATTTCCACTAGGAAAAACAAAAAGCAACAATACCTCTTAGAATTCGATGTTTTAATTTTATATTTTGTCACACATTGTTTATTGTATTGTCATATTACAATCACACTCTTATCAAAAGATGTCCAAGTTAGCGTAATGGCTATGTCGCTGGATTCCCACAGAGTCGACCGCGGTTCGCGTCCTGGACCCGGTGGCTTAGAACTCACGCCGGGCGCGTGTGCATGCGTGCCCAAGATCCCGAGAGGAGAATGGAGGAGAAGGGATTGCAGCGTGACCATCCCCCCTGGGGGGTGATTTCTCGCTTTCTGTCTCTGCAAAAATATCTGTTAAAATTTAGAAGTTTTAATTTTATATTTTGTCACAAATTGTTTATTGTATTGTCACGTGACAATCACACTCATCAAAAGATGTCCAAAATAAAGATAAAGAACAAAACATATTGGTTCCCTTTTCAAAAGTTTTATTGCATCTAAATAGTATCCAAAAATCGCACATATTTAATGTACATATTTTGATAAACTTGGAGAAATACATACCTTTATAATACCACTACCACTATCAAGAATCTAAACCTATCCATCTATATGTCTTTTCAAAATTTTCCTACAAGGGGCAGGCAGGTGGTGTGGTGGTAAAAACACTAGATTCCTGCATGGCTGACTGTGATTATAATCTTGGACTTTTCAACTTGCTTTTTCCCTTTCTCTGTCTCTGTCTCTTTCTGGTCAATATAAAATATTAATAATACAAAATAAAATAGAATGAACATTTCTGTAAAAATTTATTTATTAGGTAAGGCATGTGCATTTTCCAGGCAAAGATAGGAAAAGTGAGAAATGAGACCTCCCCAATAAAAAGTGGTCATCGTATAATCGTGACCATTGGAATTCATGACCAATGGAATTATCTCCATTTGGAAATTTGGGCATGCACATATATGTGCTGGTTTTTTAAAAAATAATGATCATTTAACTTTATTATTATTTTAAAAATTTGATCAGAGAGAAAGAGAAAGTCAGAAGAAAATCCATTAGGTGTAGAATTTGAACCATGATCAGCCATGTGAGCGTCCAGCTCCTTAACCCCATTGCCACCTTTGGCCCCACCAAGTTTGTTTTGTAAGCTACAGGTACAGAACTCAAGTTGCCAGCTTTCCCATATGTGGTTTACAACCTTAATTACTCTGCTGTCTCACCCCACATTGTACCCTTTATTAATGACCAAGATTAACCTCCAATTGGTCCAAACCAGATTTTAGTAGTTTGAATTTTATGAGAGTCTGAGTACAAATCACACTCTGGGAAACATACTAGACTTTTTCTGATGAGTGACAACCACTCCTCCATCGTCTTCTTTCTATTGTTTTTTAAAGAGTTCATTTCACATGAACCCTGAGCTGCTGACCCCCTAAACCAAACTAAGCCCCTACAGAAAAGTGAATATGTAAATAGAGATGTTAAAATAGAAGGATTACTTTATAGATATGGACTTTCCACCTCTACATTAAATGCAGTCCTGATTTGTAAACCCTGCCTTTAATCCAGCTTCATCCATTTCTGAGGAAAAACCAACTGACAAACAGCACTGGGTACAACGTGCCCCTGTATGAAGAAAGAAATATGATACAGTATGATATTCACAATCTTGTGAGATTTCCTAATCACAGTTGGCTTTTGGTTAAAGTAGGAGACTTTATCTACAGGAATTCCTATGATCAAGGTTTGGACATCAGAGAAGAGATGATAAAGTGGTCTGTTAGTTTCAAAGAGGTATGATGTCATTTCAATATGGAGTACACACAGAGGTGGGGTCAGCAAATTGCATAGTACTTACATCACTGTAATCCCACATGAGTGATCGTGGTTTGAGTCCTGGACCTGGTGACTTGAAACTCATGCTGGATGTGTGTGCCATTCTTTTGGTGGGTGATTTCTCACATTTCCTCTCACCATCTGTCTGTCTTTTTCTTTCTGGTGAGTACACACACACACAAAGAATCAAAATATATATGAGTTATGTGAACAGAGTCTTTAAATAAAATTATATGACTACTTTACCTCAGCTAGAAATTTGATTTTTACAGGGTAGCAAGTGGCATCATTGTGAAGGTGCTGGACTCTGA